ACCTTTTTATAAAAAATGTATATTTTATTAAAAATATTTATTTTCAAATAAATTTTTTATTTTATTTAATTTTTTAACGATAGTAACGTTTTTTTAAAATAAGTTTTTATTTTATTTTATTTTATTTTTTAAGTAACAATTTTTAAATAAGTTTTTATTTATTTTATTTTTTAAGTAATATTTTTTGAATAAGTTTTTAACTTTATTTTATATATATAAGTAAAGTTACTGTTTTACCCCTCTTAAATAAAATTAGTAAAAATGATAAAAAGAAGTTAGATGGTTTTAGTTAGACGTTATATGAAATTGGATAATCATGATGAATTTTTATATAAAATTGGGTGATCACGGTGAAATAAAATCAAATTGGGTGGCAATGGTGACACTAAGGGCTTATTCGGTAGTGATTATGAGAATTGATTTTTTTGAACGTTGGAGGAAAAAGTGGATCCCTGTTTTACCCCTCTTAAATAAAATTAGTAAAAATGATAAAAAGAAGTTAGATGGTTTTAGTTAGACGTTATATGAAATTGGATAATCATGATGAATTTTTATATAAAATTGGGTGATCACGGTGAAATAAAATCAAATTGGGTGGCAATGGTGACACTAAGGGCTTATTCGGTAGTGATTATGAGAATTGATTTTTTTGAACGTTGGAGGAAAAAGTGGATCCCTAACTGTCAAAAATTATTTTTTTGGGTAAGAAGTTGCTAAATATAAAGTTGGATGGTCATGGTAAAACAAAAAAAAAATAAAAAAATTGGATAACTATGAAAGTATAAAGTTAAGTGGTCGTTGGTGGATTGATGTGATCCAAGAGTCGGGCCAGACGAAGGCGAGTGCGGGACGAGACCTGTTGATAATCGAAGGCGGACCGATGACGCGATCGAGAGCAAAACAAGTGAAACAACCGATAAGATTGCTCGTTTAAGAAACCATTGATGGATCGTCCAGGACTCAAAATGGGACAAGTTTCATATTCGGGTCAAAAGCCGAAGTGAAATGGATCAATGCGTTACAAGCGGCCGAAGAAAAGGCTGAACCGCAAAACCATGCGACCGCACCCCTTTAATGGCTTGCGGTCGCATAGCCATCTTCAGGGAATTCGCTGGGATTTTTGGGTCTACCATACGATCGCATGGAAAACAACCATGCGGCTGCATGGTTATAAAATTTGACGCGTTTTTAATTTTTTCGTGAATTTTCTTATTTTGTTAGAATTTGATATCAATTATACTTCTTTTCATATTTTGATGATTTAGCACGATTTTAGCTAGGATTTTTTAGCTTTAGTATAAATACTCTTTCCATTACATTGTGTAAAGACTTTTGGCAATTATTATTGAATTCAAGAGAGGCTTTTGCTTTCTTCCAATTTATTATTTTTTGAACAATAATTTAGAACTTATCAAGGATAATTCCTTGTGGCGTTTAACAGCGGATCGTGGGTTCTTCAATTTGTAAGCAAGGGGTCCATTACATCACTGTTATATTTGGGTTCTTTGTTTCATCTTGTTGGGTTCATTCCAAACTGGTTATAATTGGCATTCTTGGGTTCCGCATCAATTTAGTTGTGGGTTTTGTAGTCTAAGTTGCTACGGAATTTGCATCATGGATTTAACCTGATTTACAATACTAATTTTTGAAAAATGTATAGGAAAAAATGGAGGAAATTTTGGATTTACAATAAAACTATTTTATTGAAATAATGCATGATTAAAAATGAGTTAAAAAAATGAATTCTCAAAAATATGGCTCAGATGGGCTGAATTTCGATTATTAGTTAGTTTAATTGGATTTACAGTAAAATAATTTTATTGAAATAAAGTATGATTGAAAATAAGTTTAAAAAATGAATTCTTAAAAATATGGCTCAAATGGGCTAAATTTTGATTATTAGTCAGTTTAAGTGAAATAATCTTAGGAAAAGCTATACTAAAATATGATTTTTAAGTTGTTATTTAAATAATTAAATACAAAGATTTTTCTTTCAAAAATTAGGTGCACTCCACTCTCACCCTCGTACTCACCTACGCGCTCACATCCCATGCCCCACACCAAATAATTGTGATGTTCTCTCTCTATGACCTCTCTCCGTTCCCTCTATCTACTTTAACGACAAACACTGTTCGCCACCCACCAACTCCAACCACCATCACCAAAAACTAGCCATAGTTTTTTTGCTTACGGACCTAGTGTTAGAATAGCACACAAGGTCTATAGTCACTCACTTGCATCGTTTTATGTCGCCATCATTGCTAAGTTGTGCCTTCCGCTCGAAGCTCCACAACTTGTCCCCTTTTGTTAAAATGTCGATATCTCCGTGGTGCTGAGAGATTTCTAGCATCATTGAACACCATCGAGGGACGATGAGCAGGCGGATGGAGAATGATAACAAGTGACTTGTAGCAAGCGAGGTAGTGCGATCTGTAATTTCCTGTGCATCTTTGTTTGTTTTTGGTAGTGGTTGTGCATATTTGTGTGGTTGGTTGGAGGTGCGGTGCAGGTATTGGCAGTGGTAGTGTTGAAGTCGTGGTGGTGATTGTTGGAGTAGGTGGTGGTGAGATGACAAATGTCTTTGAGTGATGCCAATGATGGTGGAGAGATGGTGTAGTTGTGAGATGGGATGAAAGGCATTTGTAATCAATTTGTTACTCCCCATATGAAGTTAGTCATCATAAGTAACACGTGGAAGCCTCACTAACGTCATAGGAAGAGTCAGCCCAAACATATGAAAAGATGAAGCAACGAGGTTCCGAAGTCCTTATTCTGACTAAGGTGTCACTCAACCAGATACATGCTGAAGCCCTAACGAAGGATTTATGCCAAAGTCCTCATGTTCACGACCAGTCGAGGTTCTAAAAGATGAGGCTGAAGTTCTAAGAGACGAGGAGGTTGCCACATCTGCCAACTTGACGAATATCTTTGTGAAATATTGATTAGACGTTTACTTTATCTTATGTCAGGAATATCAGCTTAGAATTATAGGACAATTGACCATTTGTCAATGTAATAAATACATGTGGGCAACCCATATCAACATTTTAGTATATTTTGGTAAAAATTGATAAAATATATAGTTGAAAAGTGTTGAATTTTACAAGATACGTGATTAAAATTAATTACTAATTTTTTCTTAAATTAAATTTTATATTTTAATTCATACAAGGACTAGACATTTTATCCAAACAAAGCATTTCCGTAATGCATGATAATCAGGTTCACCACGTCTACCGATAGAAACCCCTCGCTGCCACGTCAGTCTCCCCATTGTCCCATCACTATTACATTTTTTTCCCGTTCAGAGTTCTTTTTTTTTATTTGTTTCCGGATACATTTTGCTAAAATTTCCGCAAAAGTTTTCTGCCGAAAAATCTCTCATCCATGTCACTTAAGCTGCACCATCAGAATCTCGTCTCCGGCAGGTCAATTCTGTTCTCGCTTTCTCCACGCGCCCATGCGGATATGCACAATTTGAGATTTTTTTTGTTTCGTTTTTCCCGTTTTGATTTGATAATTTACTATGTTCTTTCTGGCAGTTAGTTTAGTTTAGTTCATAAGCATAATTAATGTGAAAATATACTGTTGATCGAGTTTCAGCTGTTTCTGTTGAGAAATAATAGTGCAATTAAACTATAAAAGCAACCAGCTTACTTCTTATATATTTTGTCATTATATTTAGGTGGAAGAAATTTAATGTGGTTTGTGTTTAGCATTGATATGAGAATTGTTGGCAAATAATTGATCATAATTCTGATTTATTACTTTTTTCGCGAAGATTCTAAACTGAACCGATGAGCGAAATTGGCATAATTAAATTATTTATTCCAAATACATCTGACTTAGCAGTGGACAGTGATGTTAGTATCTCGGAGGGATAGAAAATCATAAAGAAGAAAAGAGGACCTGGAAGCCTAACAGACAGGTTAGGTATTAGGATCTTGGTTTGGGAATGGTTGCTTGATTCCCTTTATAGAATGCCAATGCAGGGAAAATATTGTGGCTATATGTTTACTAAGCAATCAAATGCCAACACCCATATTCAAGTCATCTCCTAAGTAGAAAAAGAAAATAATAAGAGAAAATAATATGGCCAGTCTTGTAGATGGAACTACCAACTAACTTGCCATTATACCTATCCTACATGTGGTTGAGTCTCCAACTCGACAGATAAATATTCAATCATTTTTCACTGTGGATAAAATACACAGAAGAATTTTTTATGATACTTTTTCAGAAACAATTCCCAAGCACATTGAGAAATTCTAGGTATTTTCTTGTTTCTATTAGCGGTAAATACCTTGTAAACAAAGCATTTCCTTGTAATGCATGATAATCAGGTGCACCCTAAAACCAAAAGCCCAAGTACGCGAGAGCAGATGCAAGCTATTTAAATTATTCCAGATGCAAGCTATATTAATCTATATAGAACACCATAGGATTTTAAGAAAAATTGTTGGGATCTCTGGTGAACACAACATGATAATAGACAAATCTGACATAAGCGATATTTAGTGTTGGATATTTCATTCAGGAATAATTAAGCAGTGCTTCTTGTTTATGGACATTTGTGCTAGTTGGTATATACTGGTTACTGGCTTTTCCTTGTCAAGCACTTTATGGTTCATTCTTGCTCATTCTTGAACTTCTCTATTTGCAGCTCTTCCAGCTCATTGGTTGCAGTTAAACCAATCAAAACTTATTTCTTTAATAGAAGGGTGGTTGGCTTAGATCACCTGCTGTTCAACCGTTGTTATACAAGGAGGAAAAGTCGTGTAAGGCTTTCCCTTTCAGAGAGCAGTGAACTGAGTTTTATCCACAGATTGCCTCTGTTTAAGAAACAATCCATTTGTAAATTAACAAGGACACATCATCTACTGCCTCTAGCTTCTGCTGATGACAGCATCACAGTTAATGGGAGTTCCCAAGCAAGAACAGACGATAATGTTGAGCAAATAAGATTCAAACTAAATAAGTCTTTGCAGGATGAAGACTACAATACTGGTCTTATCCAGTCGTTACATGATTCTGCAAGAGTATTTGAGTTGGCAATTAAACAACACAAGTCTTTCTCAAAGATTTCCTGGTTCTCAACTGTCTGGCTTGGTGTGGACAAAGCTGCTTGGGTTAAGGCACTATCTTATCAGGTCAGTCACAGATTTGCAACATTAAGTTGGTATACTAGCAGCCTTTTTGTTTTCATTTTTGTAGTTGTAGAGAACAAAAATGTGGCACAATTCTATGACAACTTTGCTAAGACATATTTCGTTTAAACCTGGCAACATATTCTACTTTTAAAAGATATAGGAATTTGTCATTTTGGTATGTGCCTCATGGTAACAGGATCAGTCTCCATGTCCTTATCAGTAGAGCTAGAAACTATTTCTACCAATGGTGTATTGGCAGATTGTTGAGCTCAATCGACTATGGATTCGAGGAAATTATTTGGTAATGTTTTAGAAAGTTTGAATTGTTTTACAATTTACTCCACAAAAGAACAGGAAACAAGGGAATGGGATCAAATCGAGAGAATAACAATAGAAAACCATTAATGCATGGTAAACTATGTGAAGACGAAGAGACTTACTGACAATGGATTGAAAGATTTGTGCTCCAATTGAAAATGGCACAGAATACAAGTCAGGCAACTAAAACATTTTCTTAAATTTGGATTTAAACCTACTGCCCAACTCGCCACACCTCAACTCATTTTTCCAAATTAAATTTTGATATGGCATGAGTAGTTAAACGACTCAACGGATGCAGGGCTACCATATATCAATTCCCCGGTTCGTAAAAAGAACATTACAAAACAAACGCTGTTTGACTTCTCTCTTGGTAGAGCCACCATCTGACATGACTGAAATAATCTGTAACCTGCTTGGATATTGCCACCACTTCTGTACTTGTTGCTGCCACGACTACTTATACCATGACAACTGTAGTGGACATTAGCCTCAGTCTGTCACCCTGGTAAACACCGACATGACAACTCAAGTATCACTTCTGGGGCAACTGATGGCCGTGGTGATTTCTTTGACTTTCCTTCTTATATCTATTTCTGTTCAAGGTGGCTTCTCTTCAAGTCATCAAGAGTCCATTTTTGGTACCACCAAAAATTTCCTTTAGCCACTATCATTTTTCCTCGCTAACTTTTCCATATCTCAAGTTATGTTTCTGACATCACAATCATTATAAGTAAAAAACATGGAACCTAATGTTACTCTGACTTCTTCTGAAAAGGTAATAACAGTAATATACTCATATACTAAATGTAGTCTTGAATATATCATGTGAGAGACTTGCATCTTCCACACAGGTTATGAGCCCCTTTGTTTGCTTTGCATTACCGGATTTGCAGTATTCTAGGTTATAGTACCATGCATATTAGAAATTTTCTTGTCCAGTTAGATCTGGAGAAAATGAGTACACTGAATCCTACTGGAGTTGAACTGTATACATAGAACTTTAGCTGTTGCAATTATTGAACTATCATTTGCTAACATTAAAGAAGTCAATGGAAGCATCAATAGATTCCTTTATCAATTAAAAAATCTTAATTCCTGCAGAAGATGCAGTTGTGCAGATATCTATTGTAGTTGGTTGTTTCTAGTTCCGAAGGCAACTTTTGATGTTTATATCAATATCAATATCAATATCAATTTTTGCATCTCCAAATATCCCCAAGGAATGGCTAGAAAAAGAACTGGCATGACTTATTGCCTCAACTACATTTTTTTTGAAAGATAATCAAGTATTTTATTAATCAAACCATAATACATAGAAAGTGTATTATTAATACAAATCAGAAAGAAACGACATAAAATTGGGCAGCCCATCTATATGACTAGTGGCCACCGCATTAAACCAAGTATACAATGTGAAATAAAATAATTCTCTAAGTTGCTATGTTGTTCTTGTTTGATCGTCAAAACATCAGTTGTTCCTTTCTCTCCACACACACCAAACTACGCAGCCCGGAATAAGCTCCCATGCAAGGTTGCTATCTTTGTCGTGAAATTTTCTCCTCCATGCGAGTCTTCCATACGCCTTGACATCGCCCAATCTATGTGTTGCGATGCGAAAATCTCATTCCACAATAAACTACAAATATCACAATGGAGGAACAAGTGATCAATCGTCTTCCCATCCCTCCTACACATAAAGCTCCACTCTGTAATACAAAAACCCCTTGTTCGTAGGTTTTTCGCGCTACTCGTGGTGGCAATTTACTCTTCCACACTCCCTTCCAAGAGAAAGAGCTCTTCTCAGCTCCCAACAAAGATTTAAAGAAAGTGCCGACTGAAGACATACCATCCCATGTCAACCTCCACCTGCTGCAATCACCATCTCCTGTCCTGATTTGTACCTCATATAAGGATGTCAAAAATAGCACGTAGTCGTCTAACTCTCAATCCTGCAAACCCCGTGCAAAAGCAATGTTCCAGCTGATACTCCCATTATGAATATCTGAAACATCATTCATCATGGTAGACGACAACAATGCAATACGATACAAGGAAGGAAATTTCAATCTTAGTGGTTGATCTCTACACCAACAATCATCCCAAAAATTGATAGTATTACCATTCTCCACTACAAACGTTAATTTATCCCGAAAATCACTCCACCCTCGCCGGATATACCGCCACAGACTCACCCCATAAGAGCTTCGACTCTCGACTGAACACCGTCCCCACTCCATAACACCATATTTTGCTCCTATAATTTCTCCCGAAAAACTCCCCCTTTCCGTTCGAAATCGCCACAACCACTTACCCAACAAAGCTTTATTAAACAGTACGAGACTCCTCAATTTGAGACCACCCAACCTCATGGGAGAACATACGATACCCAATTAACCAAATGTAATTTTCTCTCTTGCCCTAATCTTCCCCAAAGAAAATCCCTTTGGATCCTCTCCAATCTTTTTGCCACTGCAATAGGAATAGGAAACAACGACATGAAGTAAGTAGGGAGGTTCGACAATTTGGATCTTATGAGAGTAAGATGACCTCCCTTTAAGAGGTACATACACTTCCACCCAGCTAGCCTTCTCTCCACCCTTTCAATAATACTATTCCAGATGTGTGCTTTTAAACCGAGCGCCTAAAGGTAGCCCAAGATATGTCATAGGCAATCGCGCAACCTTGCATCCTAGTATAGCAGCCAACTCCACCATGTTATCCACCTCTCCCACTATGATAGCTTCAGATTTTCCCAAATTCATTTTCAATCCTGATAGAGCTTCAAAGCATAAGAGCAAACGCCGCAAATTCCTGACTTGCTCTACCTCTGCATCACAGAAAATCAGTGTGTCGTTTGCGAAGAGCAAATGAGATACCTATAACTGCTCAACCATAAAGCCCCTTAGTAAACTCTCCCCCATGGCATTCTCGAGCATCCTACCGAAAGCCTCCATTACAATGACAAACAGCAACGGGGATAAAGGATCTCCTTGTCTCAGTCCTTTGCTACTACGAAAATAACCCTCCGGAATGCCGTTCACCATAACTGAAAAGGAAACCGTGGAGATGTAAAACTGAATCCACTTACACCACTAATCCCCAAAGCCACATTGCCTGAGCATATACAAGAGAAATCTCCAATTTATGTGATCATAAGCTTTCTGAATGTCAAGCTTACATAGCATTCCAGGAACACCCAGGCGCAGTCTTGAGTCAACGATTCATTTCCTATAAGTACTGAATCCAAAATTTGGCGTCCTTTAACGAAAGCATTCTGAAACTTGGACACCACTTTTTCCAGCACCTCCTTCAATCTATTTGCCAAAATCTTCGCAATAATCTTGTAAACTCCGCTCACGAGGCTAATAGGATGAAAGTCTTTAATATCCGTCGCTCCCAATTTCTTTGGAATCAGCACAATAAATGTAGCATTGGCACTTCGCAAGAACCTTCCACATTGAAAGAAACAAGTAAGGACTTCGACAATGTCCGATTGCACCACTTCCCAACAAGTCTTATAGAATGAGAACGAAAATTCATCGGGTCCTGGCGCCTTTTCATCATTCGTGCTAAACACCACCTCCCTAATTTCATTCTCCTCAAAAGACCTCTCTAACCAGCTGGCATCCTCCTCAGATATAGAAGAAAACTCAAGCCCTTCCAACTCTGGCCTCCAGTCAAACTGCTCTTGATACAGGTTCTGATAGAAGCTTACCATCTGGGTCTCGATCTCCTATGGATCCTCAAAGGTAACGCCATCGACCTTCAACATATTGATAGAATTGTTGCGCCTATTGGAGTTCGCGACCTTATAGAAAAAGCAGGTGCATTTGTCCCCCTCTTTCAACCATTTGATTCTAGATTTCTGACGCCAAGTAGTGTACTCCATCTCCACCAGGCTTTCCAATTCTTCTCTTAATTCTCCTCGTCTCACCCTCTCTTCCCCTGCCAGTCCTCTACTTTCCTCCCTCCTATCTAGCTCCTCAATGACCAATAAGCATTGATTTTTACGATGGTTAACATCTCCCACCACCTCCTCATTCCACTTCTTTAGATCTCTTTTCAGCACCTTAAATTTGCAATCCAAAACATAACTGGGAGATCCCTTGAAGTCATAAGACGTCCACCAAGTCCGTACTCATTCCCCAAAACCATCCACTTTAAGCTACATCTTCTCAAACCTAAAAGGTTTTTTTCAAGCACGCCTCACATTCCCAGATAACAATATAGGGAAATGATCAAAATACAGTCTCTCCATTCTCCTTTGAATGACCTCTGGATACTTAGCCTCCCATGCTCTACATACCAAAAATCGATCTATTCGGGATAGGATAGGTTGATCCCGATTAGAAGACCAAGGAAAGTCTCTCCCAATCATAGGCAGGTCCACCAACGCGTTCTCTCTGATAAAATTTGAGAAGTCCTCCATAGCTCTTGTTAATCTCCCCCTACTAGACCTCTCAGTAGGAAAACGGATCACATTAAAATCTCCCCCGATACACATTAGAAGGTTCCACCAAGCTATCATTCCAGCCAATTCAACCCACAGTCCACTTCTATGCTCATCTACATTAGGCCCATAGACTCCTACGAACATCCACCGGAAGCTATCCTTGATGTTTTTAAATGAGATCAATAGAGAAAACAGACCTTCGCTAACCTAGTCCATATCAAAGACT